CGTTCTGCCGAAAACGGTTACACTATCACTCCTCTTTCTATCCTGGCCTATCTATCTACTCTTTACCCTCATATTCCACTGGCGCCCTATTACAACTTCTGACTTGTTTACATTCCACTCGTCAAAATGTGTGCCCTTTCGTGGCAAATCTAGTGTGGCCTCCTTGCACTTGCTATTCGCCGCGACCCCCTATCTTTTGATCGGCTGATCCGACTCAAGCCTCCAACGTGGATCCCCTCATTGTCTCGTAGATCGGTTCCTTATCTTTCTGGTTGACCGATTTCACTCGGTTCCAGTCCCTGTGTGCATTTCACTCCAGACGCTATTTCTCTAGCCCATAAAAGCACGTACACTGCCTCTTCACTGAGCAGAGCGCCTAAACTCTGATTCCCATGCTTGCAGATTTCAGGCCTTCCCTTCACGGGTCGTCTCCTCGATCAAACCCATGTTATCTGAGCAAACTGTGGACGTCTATCTCTGGTCGCATGCGGCATCTCAAGTGGATTTCTAGTACATTTTGGCCATAACGCCGAATTTCCCTGATGGTTTGGCTGTAGTTTTTGAGTTAGTTCGCAGGAAGGTAGGAATATCCACTTTTGTGAATCTTTCATCGTACTTACTCTTCTTTCATAGTCCCCGTTCTGCCGTCGGCTTTTTACGGTCCGAAAGAAAGAATTCCTATGCTGGGATAATAATCAATTTCTGGTCCCATCACAATTACAAGCTAAAGATACGAATAATGAGGAGCATGATCATCCGAAGCCTACACCTAACGGATGTAGAATTCTGGGAAGAGGAGCTGGACAAATTGACTAGAATATTGCTCGGCAATGGCTACCCAATTGAAGTGATACAAAGAAACATACGGGCCGTAAAACGCCGATGGCAAAACCGGGTTATGAAAGAACAGTAAGGACGATAAAAGATTTACAAAAGTGGATATTCCTACCTTCCTGCGAACTAACTCAAAAACTACGGCCAATATTGAGTAAATGGAATATTCAGGTGGCCTTAAAAGAAAAATCAACACTTTTTACAAGTCTACCGACGCAACATGAAGGGCTAGCTAAATTGGATTGTTCAGGAGTTTACTGTATATCATGCAGCGCCTGCGAACAGAAATATATTGACGAAACAGGGAGAAAAAGTAGCAAACGAATCAAGGAACATCAAAGGCTCTGCATGAAAATGGATACCGAAATATCAGAATTTGCGGAGCACATCGCACAGACTGGACATGAGATCAATTGGAGGCAACAGAAAGAAGAGCCTCATGCGGTAACAATACAAGGGAGCGAAGGATTAGGGAGGCCATTGACATAGTTCGGGAGAAAAATCTAATGAACAGGAGATTGGAGGAAAGTAGAGTTAGCGATAACTATGTCTACTGCTGATAGGGCGGCAATGGGATAATAGGGTAAAGAGTAGATAGATAGGCCAGGACAGAAAGAGGAGTGATAATGTAACCGTTTACGGCAGAACGTCTGTCGAGGAATTGACTTCACTTGTCTTTTTGACGAGTTTGTATCTTGGTTCGGCGAATGGCAAAACTCACTGATGATGCCGACTACGTTGCTGGCCAAACGATTGAGAATGTACCAAGTCCACTGTCTGTTGCTGGGACTCATGACAACTACTATGGCAGACGATTTCGGACTAGGTGCGTTATACTAAGTCGCCCTGACAACAAGACCAAGTTGCGACGACGTAATCAACCCACTTCTATCCTTGCCGAGTTGCCAAACCGCAAAGCAATCGTCCAGACAGTTAACTAATAACTTTGGAACTGCGAGTGTCTCTTGAAACACGCGAACTTCTAATTGGGCCAAATCCGTGTCTGCTCATACAACTTACCATTGAAGGTAAAATATGTATTATACATTGTGAGATTGATTAATCTAATGATAGAATCTTTGCTTAACCTGTTAAATGTTATAATTTCAGGACGCTGATATATTGTTACTTCGAAGGCCTTCATTGCCTCGTTTATCGGAAAATAAGTGTACATAGACAGTACATCCAAACATACTGGAAAATCTTCCCTTTCTGTCGTCTGATGAACAACTTATTTTATAAATTCATAGGAATTCATTATCGCAAGCTTCTGAGTTTCCGAGATTTGTCTTAACTGAGTGCAAATAAATTGTGATATTATATCTCTCACGCTACCTCTATTATTTACAATGAGCCAAAGTAGGGTAATACAGGAAACAAAATATACTGGTCCTAAACACAATGTTTTGCGGGTTACAGAAAGTTCACATCAACTTGTAAGATTACTGAGTCTATAAAAATTAGCAAAACAGCCAACGTCCCGAATAGGAGGAATAAGTGCACAAAACTGAGTAGGAACTATTTCCGTCTGTTGGATAGGCTTAAAGAAAGGAAAAGAGAGAGCAGTAATAGCCACTGAAAAAGAGAATGAGGCTGGATTAGCCTCGAGTCTAGTTATGACTATCACACTTCCCATGACATGGGCATTGCATACACATAATAGAAAATGGCACAAGCCCAAACATGAATCAACATTAGAGGATCGTACACCAGTTTATTTATATAATGAAACAGCTGCCACAGAACACACTTCCGGTCCATAAAGTAATTTTACTCAACTGCAAGCAGGTATAATAAGTTGGAGGTAGCCAACCAAAACATGGGGTGCTTAATGAGGCGTTATACTAACCAGATGCGTCTATAAAAGACGCGAACAGAGTTGCAGCCGGCCATCTTTTCTCTTGGTCTAGTATATTTTTGCTCTATTTTGTAAAGTATGTATTCCAGCTCAGATGATTTCTGTCACCGTTCAGACAAAAGTTTAACACAGTTTCATCGGGGTCATAGGACAATGAAAATATTAGAAAACTCTCCTCCTACGGCTTCCGGTGGAACCACAACACGAATTCATTTCAACTTTTCTTTCGAAACGGAAAGCCATGTCACGATGAAATTAAACACGCTTGATTTATAGAGTTAAGGTCTAGGCCATTGAGTCTTTTTAGCCTTGATAAGAGAACCCAACAATCCTTAGGTTGGTATAGCCACAATGTCGAACACCTTCCCCTTAGCGAGTAAACTATAAAAAGTTATTGAAGCTAAGAAGACTAAGATGTTTTGGCCTCTGGCATGGTCGCAGTCTCCTTTGCGACAACGAGGTCAACCGATTTTTATAAAAAGTTTTAATCCTAAAGTCACTGGGCCCTTCGAAACACCATACTTTCTTGGAGACATCAATTTTGGAACAATTCAACAGGAAAGTTGGGGAAAATGTTAGTTAGTTTTTACAATAGTCCAATGTCTGATAAAAATGGTATGGAGAATTAATAATGTAACTAATCAAAAGTATGAAGACCAAGATGGCGTGGCTTTTTGTGTGGTCGCAGTATACTTTTATTTTATAGAGGCTGTTTGACCTTGTTTTCACAACTTGGTCATCATCATTCCCAAAGTCAGACCCTATACGTGGTACATACCCAAACGTTTTGCCGGCATCGTAGTTGGCATCATT